CTGCGATCAGTAAAGTGAATAACCGCTTCTGGGGGGTGTATGTTAAACACAAAGTTTATGTTCCATCACTTTCAGCAAATATCGATGAGATGAAAGATCGAATACCAACTACAATCAACACAGTGGCCTGAGACATTCTGAGGCGCGTTTGAGAGGAATTCCCATATCAGCTTTTATCATGTTGTCCGTGCTGCCGGTGGGGGCCACATTGAGCACGTGTAAAACATCAAACAAAATCTTGAAGGTATGAACAACATACGTGTTCAGGCTGGAGTTTTCCACTGTTTTTCGTTTTGAAATATCGTGTGATGATTTTGGCGTATACTTTTTTAATCACCCTGTACTAGATCTTAATTAAAATTTGTTTTCTGAACTTTCCACGAAAACCTTATTACAGATCTCTCGTTGAGCGAGAATTCTCAGCAGAGTAAATGTTAGTCTAATACATATGCTCGTTCGTTTTGAAAGAATGTATTTAAAGCGAGTACACGAATGACACCAGGAGGACCCACATGAGGCCTTTCTGAGAGTAGAGACCCCGAACGTGACTATTAACTTGGTCAAATAAGATGCAAATGTGGGGTGGCGTTATAACCCTTTGCGAGCGACTACCAAAGTAGTGGTCTGTGGTGGCACGAAAATGTCAACATTTTGGAGTTATCCGTGAAGTCGAGCTTTGTCATGTTCGAGTTATCCGTGCTCGACTGTAGTTTGGGAAATTTGGCAGAGCACAAGGAGGAGGGAGAGGTATCGGCTGAAAGTGCTGAGATAATTGCTCTTTTTTCCATATGAAGATATACGCCTATCTTTAAAAAGATTTTAAATGTAAGTTTTGCATTCATGTTTACTTGTACGACTTCCACCTTGAAAATGTTTTCCTCTTTGCTAAAATAACTTGGATGTTGCGAGCTTACTGCTATCGTGTATTCTATTTTCCCGGTTTCACGGTAAATCATACTGAAAACACCGAATTTCAATTGCCAAGATTTGAATCCCTACAACATGAAACTGAAATCCTATGGGGCACTGTTTTTTTTGGCAGAAAGAGTTTGGGGTTCATAGTATTGTTTTTTTTTAGCGTTAAAGTAAGCGTTTCAAGGCATTTGCAGCACAATTAAAGTATATAACCGCCGAAGTTTAGAGATCTTACAAGAGAGTAACAAACACAAACAAGAAGGAGAGATAAGAACAATAGATGTTTGACAGGAAAAGGAGGAGCAAACTACACTAGAGCACCCGCGAACCAGCCACCCCTAACAGTCTCATAGTCAAAGGAAAGATTTTTTAACAGCTTTGACAGCCGTGATACAAACTTTAAACAGTCGGAAATTATCATACAATTTGGACGCCACTAAACACACTTTCACAGTTTCGATTTCCATGGCACCGTTTTCTGCCAGCTTCCACAGCGCGATGCTTTAATGTGCTGGGTCATTCCATAAAACGTGACACACATAACACAGAGATGATGACCTACTGAAAAAAAATATATTCAGTGATAGAGCCATTCTTTACTCGTTTTGTTATATAAGCATATGACCTGGTTGAAAACAAACCCAAAATAAAAATAAAAATCATAAAAATCAAGAATGGCTCTATCATTGCCTAATTTGTTGTTGTTGTTGTTGTTTTTTTCGTTGTTGTTATGTTTGGTTTTTTTGGGGTTTTTTTTTGGGGGGGGTGTTTTTTTCAACTAGGTGATAATCCGTGTGTTTCGTGCCAGTGCTCATGGAATAACCTTCCTATTTATTTTGACACTCCTGCTCTTACCCCAATGAAAGAGAAAGCAAAAAGAAGTTACTGTGGGTAAACTGCCCAAGGTGATGTCAGACATAGGTGCAAGCACTTTCACTACATGTATCTTCATTCTAAATAAAGCAGAAGAGTGGGGACAAAATAACACAGCACCTTCCTTTGGGTTGTGTGCCGACTTATAATCCACTTCCTTTTCCATTTCCCCTTTTTATTATGCTGGTTGGAACTTTTTTTTAAATGCTTGTTTAAAAAATTTGTTTGCGATATTTTTAGGTAAGCTGTTCAAGTGGAGATAAAAGTGGGGCTCTCATGGCCTACAGGTTAAGAACTTAAGATATTCACCTCTCATTCAAAGGTCCTGGGTTCTAATCCGGGCAGCGACGGAAACATTTTCTTCTCTGAAATTTTCTCCTTTCACCTCTTTTTCCTGCTCTCTAACAATGTTCTGTCATCTGCTTTCGTCTCCACTTTCTGCCCCCACCTCATTTGTCCCCTCCTCTGGGCTCCTGACTCTTTCTGCAGCCTTTTTACTGCTACTCCTTGGCTCCTTCTTACTGCTGTCTTTCAACCACACCCCTGATCTTCTGGTAGGAAAGATCTACACCTAGCCGTCTCGGATAAGGGAGAAAAAATCTCGGAGGTCCCGTGTGCAAGTTGAGCTCGTTAAAGATCCCTTGGAGGACTAAAATCGATAAAAAGTTGGCTTCGGTCGCCACCCGGGCAAAATTCAAAATTTCCTACCAGC